TTCCCTGTGGATGTTTTCAATGCTAAATTCCTGTTCATTTTTATCCTGTTGGCCATGTGTCTTTAACAAGAAGCTGCACCAATTTTCAGTCTGTTAAAGGTCCTCTGACTAGCAGCTTGGCAGAAAAACTCTAATAACTGTGTATGATTTATTTCTAAACACGCACCGAAACAAAACAAAGAAAGAAGTCTTTAATGCCGCAACTGCAGAGACTAGAACTTACTGCTATCAATTTGAATAACCGCGAGTTAGAGCTGTGCCGTGGGTAAGCTAATCGTATTGATACGACAGTGCCGAGTTGACATTTGGAGTCACTTTGGCTGTCTCAGAGCTGGTACGAATTGACAAACAAAATGTGCTAAAATTCTTCCTCTCACATTTCACCTCCCCCAGAGACAACTTCCATTCAGAGACAGAGGCAAACCTCACAGGAGAAACTCAATTGAGTGATTGGGAAATGCTTGCAGCACAAACATATGGATTAGCAGTCACCTCAGTAATGAATATCTCTGTTCTGTCTGAGGTTAGGTGGCATATTCTCCTCTCACATTGACGCACACATGAGCTGCAGGTTTCACTATCGTCTGCCTTTGCTTTGAACCCTTCTTCTCACATGTCGTCACCTGGCCTTTAGCAGCAGGTGTCTTATCTCTACACACACACAAATGCATGTGTGAGCGGTACATCTGGTCTCATTTAAAGCCCTGACCTTTTAGAGTTTCACTCTTGTAATGACTGAGCAAGAGGAAGGAGCAAATGTGCCTGCTTTAGATCCTATTTGTTCAGCTCCTGGACAATTTGGCATGAGTCAAGTTAGTTGGTGAGAGGTTCAATCGCTCATTCACAAAGGCTATTTGTCTGAAATGAACATTATTTATTAATTGGGCTTTTCTTTGTGGTGGAAGTAAAAATAGACATGACTTGTTCTTGTATAAAGCGATACTCTTTTCATCATTAAGCCTGATATTGGTGTAAAGGTGAGACAGGGTGAAAGCCATTTCCTATAAAATCTTTGAAAAGATTGGCTGAATGAGGACTTCAAGGACTAGCAGTACAGTAGTCCCTCACTACTTCGTGGTTCGACTTTCGTGGACTCGCTCTTTTGCTATCATTTAAAGTAAGATTGAACACGAGAAAAAAAAACTGTACAGGACACGATTGTCAACTTTAATATTACTCACGTGATTGGGACAGTACTGGATACTGTACAGTAAAAAGTTAACAAAAAAATAAAATACTTCGGATAGGTGCCGCCATTTTGTAATTTTCTCTCCATAAGCATACTTTATCACCGCTCATAAGGACTTCATTTCCCAGAAGCCAACAGTGCCCCACCCAAAAGCCCCATTGCTTTCTACTGAAATAAGTAGAGGGCAAGTTTTGATCTAATACGAAAAACTTTGGTTCTGTACAGTGACTTCGATGCCCAGCGGATTCAGAGAGCTGCACAGAACCGGAGCAGAACCGGACACCCGGACCCATCGGCGAACCCGAGAGCTGGTAGCTGGAAAACGAGGACTTCCGAGCAGGGACGCACAGCCGTAGTTCCGGCATTCTCTCTCGAGCTCACCGCCACTACCCTGACCCAGAGAGCTGACCAGAACCGGCAGGGTAGGTCCACGGAAACAGAACCATGTTGGAGCATAACCGAGCCACTGCTGTTCTGCAGAGCTGGTGAGTAAAATTTAGTAGCTACCTATAAGTATGTTGTTAAAATGACATAGGTTTAAGAGTTTAGAACATTACAAAAGTCTGAGAAGGGTGTCTAAAGCCTTAAAAAAACAAATATAACATCACTACTTTGCAGATTTTCACTTATTGTACACACATGGGTGGGAGGGGTCCGGAACGTAACCCCTGCATTGAATGAATGACTAATGTATTGTAAATTATATCAGTAAGAAAAATAAACATTTATAATCTAAATTATAAAAAACACATTTATATTTATTACCTGCTGCCAAAACACTATTTGTTTCACTCTTTTTGCCATTTGGTTCTACTGACGTAAATGTTGTCTCTGCAGATGCAGTTTAATTAGTCGAATTCACTGTTGGCACACGCTGCAATGAAAAAAGACTCACAACATTTTACTGTAATTTCACTAAACATTGTCATTTAGTTGTAATTAGGGTTGTAATTTATGTGCAAAGAGTATTACAACATCAATATTGTTTAAATGTGTATAACAATATAGTGTTTTGAAGTTGTTAACATCTGGTTAAGACTGGAATTCTCCACCGTCTTGGAGTTTATAAATAATACTGCTTAATCTACCTTTTGAATGATACCATGGTTGGAATAAAAATGCTTTTTGTTTTGAACAGGGAAAAAAAAAAAGTTAAAACCTGGTGATTAGAGGGTGCTTTTCTCTCTTCTTTAAGCCTGTTGATTTTAAAATGCATGTTTGGAGTTGGTTCAGGCTCAAAGGCTGTCATTTCCCCATGTTGCTTCTGTCACTTTTTTATTCCCAATTTAATTAATCTCTGTGTATGTATGTGCTGCCGTGTCTCTGGGATCAGAGCTGTTTATCTGCCACATAGAGCTGAGAAAAAACCTCTTAGACACACCAAATGTATAAAAAGTAGCTTGTGAGTACACCTGTGTAACTGCTGTGGAGCGAATGTGTAATAAAAATCATTGAACCAAATACATCAATGCTGAAGATGCTCCCCAAGGTACAAATAAATGAGCTCTGTTCCATGCAACCATGTGGCCATAATTTGCCCAAGTGATTGATTACACTAATGGTTTTGAATTAAAACAAATGGCGATTTCTTTTTTGGAGAGAGAAGCTTTTACTTTGATGGAACAATTGCTTTCTTACAGCTTCAGTCTAAAAGAATTGAGGTCTCCCTCTCAAAAATCATTTTGTTTCTGATTTCGGAATAAGTTTTTCCAGGTACATTTATCACTACTTTCATTTCTTAGTACAAGGACTCTTTCATTAGTGTGTTGTATGCATACACAAATAAAAATACCAAGGCAAGGCTCATGCTGACTTCTCTCTCTGAGGAATTTGTGAGTCTTATTTTTTCTGATGGTAATTAAAGAAACCCATTCCTAATTTCAACTTCTTTTGTTTAAACTTTTATTAGACTTAATGTATTTAAGGAGCAAGCTAATTTAGTTAGGTGACAATCCTCTTTAAGTAAAAAAAAAAAAAAAAAAAAAATATATATATATATAAATGATGAGAGTGACTGGGAAAAGTCAGTATAGTGTTACAAAAATAAATGTGCAGCAATTGAGAGCTGAACTCCTCAAGCACATTCCAGATAATGACAGACATAGAGTTATTATAAAAACCCTAAAAATAGCTGCAGTGCGTTTGTGCATATAGCTATTGGGCTGAAAATGTTCATACTTTCAACAGCAGGAATGCAAGTGTTGTTCTCATAAGCCAAGTTGCAATCCATACTTCTATGATAAGTGGCAAACAAACAACAGGAGAGAAAACTGGATATAGTACAAAGCTGTTGTTCAGTGATACTTCACACACACATTTAAACAGAGTTTATGCAGAAGTTTTTTTCAGATAGCAGAAAAGTCAGGAGAAGCAACATCAAATTATATTATCCACAGACAATCAAATTATTCTTTGAAGTTCTTGTTACTTTAATCAGGCTGACAAATCCTACTTCAAAGTTGGTCCAGATGTCTATCCGCCTGAATGCATCGTTGGGTTTTAGAGTCTCCAAATGTTTAGCTACATAGGTGTATAACAATACAAGCCAAGAAATGTCAAAGTTCATGCTCAATAATCCAGGTAAAAAAAAATCCAACAAAGTTCAGTCAGGTCCTCTGGACGGTTTCCTTTTTTTGTTGAAATGTTGAAACATCTTATCACCATCAAACTGGTCCAGAAGACCTCACTTAACTTTGTTGGAAGTCAAGAAATGCTTCATCTAGCCACTTTTAAGTTTCTAAATACCAACTGCTTGATGTTTAAGGGCATTTACTTTCTCCTTGGTGTTGATCATAGCAGATACAAGTAAATCAATTTTTATTGGCAACGGGTTTTGCAAGGACTCACGTTTCCTTTTTAGATACATTTACTTCTAGCTTTATTTTGAAGAGCTTTCCTTTGTTACACTGTGGTAAGTGCATATTCTATTATACTTTGACACCAAGTTTTAATTTGCTGATTGGAACAAATTTACTGTTTCTGTCTTTTTTTAAGCCCTGCTATCATTTTTATCTGCATGAATATTTCTCTTTGTACCTGTGTGTTTAAAACTTGACATGTCAAGTTTATTTCCTGCCTACATCATTTCCATTTTTTTTAAATATCCCTGAGATACCTGCTATTGCAGCACCTTTAGTTTGTAAAAAAATTAAGTAATTTCTTTATCTTCCATCTGCCTCGAGACACAATTACAAAGAGTTTTGTTTTCATGAGGAATTATGGGTGTTAAAAAAGATTACATCATTTAATCTGGCATTTTGATGTTTTCAAACAAAAAAAGAATATTCTGCTTGCTTCAGTAATTTATTACTACCGTAAGTTGGTGAGTGTACTTTCAGTGATTATCTGTATTTTTCCCCAAACAAAAATTTCAGTTGGGTAGATATTTATAGGTAATGCAATATACTGAAGGGTTTGCAAATTTTACAAGTGTTAAGAAATAAACAAATAAAAGGAAATTTAATGTAATGTGAAATAACAAGCTGGTAAACAATGAAAGAAATAGTTGATTATATCATCAATTGTATGTATTTGTAAACTCTTACTCGTGACTTTTCTTCCAGTCTGGTCATCATGACAATGGTGTTGGATCTCTGCTCCCACACCATCCTCCAGAAGTCAGTCAGGGTCTCAGGCAGAGGTCCTTGAGTAGCAATGTAAGCATTTTGTTTCCTGTAGCCATCAATGTAGTTGGCATTATTGTAGTCACTGCCTGGAACGGCTGTAGAGTGGAGAAAAATATTGGGCTATAACTCATTACAAAGTACACTAAAGCTCTAACAACAACAACAACTGAAGGTAATTTTAATCAGTCTAATCAAGATAATAATACACTTATTGACATCTGTCTCTCGGAGCACATCGACACATTCTGTACAAACCCAACCAGTTTCAGTCAATTAGTAATAATATTTTAGCTATAATACACAGCTCTCTTCAAAAACATGTTATAACTCACAGTCTAAATGAACAGGATGCACTGGGTTTGTGGGTAAAGTGTTTTAAACCAGCAGAAAGAATACAGAATGTCTCCTGAGAGTGAGACCTAAATCAACAAGTGTCGGTCAATAGCAATCTGAGGGGTTAAGTGGTTCCATGAACTCTTACCATCAACAGAGGTGAGGACCACTCTCGAGTGGTCATAGGCGATAACGTTTGCATAGCGATTCTTTGGCTTGTTGACTTCCATGTTGGAGTTTTCCCAGGTAAACTGCTGGCCGGGATCAATAGACTGAGAGAGGATAAGTTCAAGACAGGGGACAGAGAAGAGATAAAAGAAAAGTACAAACAAAAAATACTTGAGTTTTACAGTGGAAAGCAAAATTTTTCAGTAAAATAAACTGGATTATATTATATTTCTACTGTTTAACATATATCTTAAACCCTTGTATACCGTTTCTTTTTAATAGTTTATATTATTGCTAGTTTGGGGAGAAACTGAGACCTTGAGTACACAATTTGGTTCCACCTCATGTACCACATGCTGCGAATGACAATAAAGAACCTTGAATTTGCATAATGTTTCTGAAGACTCATACGGAGGTTAGTATTCTGTAGATTGAGTATGGTACTTAAGCATGAATCTTTCTTTGTCTTTTTTTGTGCTTCTATTTCAGTAACTTTTTTCCTTCTTGTATTCTTGTTTCACCTCCTCCCTTTTAGCCCCTCTCTGTTTCTAGCAATTTTCCTCTTACGTCATTTGACTCCTGGCAAAAGGCAACAGTAGACTGCATACATATTGATCTTGGGAGATATGTGATGGTCTCCTATCCCTTGTTGGATAATGTCACAATGTCTCTTGCTATTTCATATCGATCCCCGTTTTCTCACACCAGAACCTTGTAGAGTAATTCCACAGGCTTTTCGCCTCACAAATCCAGCAGCTGTAAGAACGATACCTTTGAGGTTTATATACTTACTTAATGTTGCCATCGTACAAGAGAAAAATAGAAAAAAATGTCTATAAACACACCATTTGAACTCCTAGCTGACCAATCGAATCAACCATTCTAATGATGAGGTGAATTAAGTTGCTTTCAGCTATTTGCAAATGAAATGTAACTATTGGCTTCTCTGTTATAAACAGCAATCAACATACAGCTTTCTATAGGTTGACTTCTGGATTAAAGTGGCGCCTACATAGGTAGCAATATACAATAAAAGCTATTTTCAAGCTTTTTGAAGAGTCTGATCAGAAAAAAAGAATGAGCACGCTGGCTGCTGCTAAACAGGATGTGAAAAATGTGAAGTGCTCATACGGCACAAATCCGTCATCACAGCTACAAATTACTCAGCCTTGAGAGTCATGGGGGCAGAGGCCTATTGCTGCTGATGAGCTCAGCACTGCCAATTTCTCTGCCTGTGCCCGGCACTATGAAGGGAACGATTTCATTTGCAGTCAAAACATGTCATATTCATTTGAGAGCTGAGTGAACACAGCAGGCATACTAGAGGGATGACAAGTAGCAAACAAGTTCGGCAAAAAGGTGAGAAACAAACGCCCAAAGTGTTCTCAGTGAAGCACTGAAAATATTTCAAATTATCGTAATGACAGCTTCATGACGACTGTGGTGTGATGTTGCTTCTGGAAAAAAGTCTTTGGAGTTGCAGAAAGCCTGATTTACTAATTCTACTCATTATCCAGAGTGTTCATTGCGCAGCATGAAGCTGACTAGCATTGGTGGTAAAGAACATGTCAAGCTGCCTAATAATACATAGAGCAGAGGAAGTGGCGAAGCCTCAACTAATTTTGTGCCTTGGGGTTGGCACAACGGGAGCAGCCGGTGAACGCGACTGTGGAAAAAGCACCATGGTTCTGCCACAGCTCCTTGGCTGGCACAAAGAAATGGCCATCTGCTGGCTGATGGAGGGGGGTCTTCCCTGGTAAGAGTGACTTTCGCAGTAAAGCTGGACTACTTGCCTACAATTCCAGCTACTTTCTCTGGTTTGGTTCCTTTACACCAATTCAAGGAGCAACATGCAGCATTTAAATTTGATCAAGGCCTAATAATCTTTCCATTTACTGTTAACTTCACTGGAATTTATAGGGTGGCTGTGGATGAGTGGTTAGAGCAGTCGTCCTCCAATGCAAGAGTTGGGGGTTCGATTCCACCAGCAGTCGCATGCCAAAGTGTTCCTGGGCAAGACACCGAACCCCTCATCACCTCTGATGTGTGTGTCCCATCCATGTATGAATGTGATAAAGCTCTGATTAGTCTTTGTATAAATATAGTAAAGAGCTGTATGAATGGGTAAATAGTTTTCTACACTGCCTTATAATCTAGCAGTTTTTTTCCACTACTTCTTCCTTTTGACTGTCCTTTTGGTTGCCATTTTATTTTAATTTGTAAAAATAAATAAATAAATACATTTGTATGCCTCTTTTATGATTGTCTATTGTTATCGTTGTTATCCACTGTTGTCATCACTCTTTGTTAAAAAAAATCAGGTCTCTCTTGTAAATGAGTCCCAGAGGCTCAGTAGGATTAACCTGTATAAATAAAGGTTAAATTAATGAATGAAAGGGCACAGATTGTAGTGTAAAGTGCTTTGAATAAGATAGAAAGGTGCAGTCCATTTACCATCCCATTTGGAATTTATCAAAAAATAATTGTGCATATACTTCATATTTTAACGTGACATTTTGCAACAACAATAGGAATATAAAGTTATTTTTGGGTATACGCTACAGCGTTAGGCTATTGTTACAGATATAAATAGCCAAAAAAGTGAGATAATCTCATGGTGAACAATTTATGACACTACAAGCTACAATATCTAAAGTAATCAAATGCAAATTTTTTTTTTGCCTTGGTTTTAACTGTAGGTGCTACAACTGAGAAAAGATCATGCATGAAATTTTAATGGAACGCCTTTTACTTTCTTGAAACGAAATAAAACACAAAACTGCATTTATTATAGAAATAATACCTCTAGAAATATTTAAGTTATGAGTTCAACACAACACATAAATAAATAAACAGATATATAAAATGTGAATTAGAGTTCCTTTCATGTAGGCAACGGGTATAAACATTTAAGTTTGGACTTATGATATTAGGGAGACAGCAAAATAAATGTTTTATTCTTTTTAGGAGTGCAAAACTGCACAGCAGCATTTCTTGCCATCGTAACACTGGTCACAAACACAGTGACACAGGTAAGAACATGACCTTCTAGATAAATCTAAAAGCAAAGATCAACAACCACTGCAACGCTCTACTTGGATCCAATAGGGCTGATTAGAACAGACAGATTCAACAATCAAAGCAAATAAATAAAAGACAAATCGTGTTTTTCTGTATTCAAGGATGCTGCTCTTCTTCGTCTGGCCTTGCTCAGACCCAAAATCAACTATGTACCACTTTAAATGCAAATTTGTCCCCCTTTCCTTTTTTTTTTCTGAAGAAGAACACTGACAAGAGATAATCCCTCACTGAGTTGCAATGGAGAGACCGCCTGCAAAAACATTCTTCAGGGAAAGAGCAAGACGAACACAGATTGCTTAAGCGCCCCACCACCTGCTAGTTTTGTGAAAGCGCATCTCCCAGCATTTAATGTAAGTGTTGGTTTCCTAGTAGGATTGGTAATGGAGTTGTAAAAATGAGTGAAGAATGTAAAAAGTCTTCCATAATCCATTAGAATACATGCATATGAGATCAAAAAGAAAAAGGTCCTCCCTGACACAATAACAAAGAAACCCATTTATATTCTTCAAAGAGCAGGAATTACTGGCACCACAGTGGTAGGTTGCTCTTACCTCATACTCCTGGGAAAACCTGAGGCCGTCGTTGGCTTTAAGTCTCTCTATGTGGTCAGCCAGTTCAATGACAGGAATGGGTGGGTGCTCCCTCATTCCTGAGAGAGAGGAAGAGAAGGAAAGGGACGAGAGGAAAGAGTAAGACTTGGCTGTTTTACAATAAAATGGACATTGATTTACGGTAACAATGGTCGAACCACAAGGTGAGTGATGCTGCCAGTGGGACCATGAGGTGACTGTGCATGGGGAGAGGTAAAAAAACCCAAACAAGAATACAGAGTGCACACGTTGAAACAGGCTGATGACGTTTGGCGATATCGTCATGCTAAGTGACAGAGGCGAGGTTGGAACGAAGATGCACATGAGTGACCGAGTGAGCATGCTCCGTTGAAGGAAGCATGATACAGACATCTCTCTGGCTCCATCAACTTAGCTTGGTGGTAGGGACAGGAACAGAAAAAAAGAAGAAAACTCACAAATCGCTACAAAAAAAATTAAATCATAATACCACTTTGTACTGCAATGGCACTTTGCACTTGCGTTGGTTTATTTTAAACAACAGACTCCTCATTGCTGGACCCTGGGATGACCTTTTGCTAATCTAAAAACACAAATTCACCCTAGACTTCAGAACATGACAAGGCTCCGTACCTAAATGCAGGGAACTAGCTCTATGGGTGAAAAGTTAACTGTATGCAACGCATGAAGAACAAATAAGGTTAAAGATAGAGCATTGTTAACCTTACACACTGCTTGCCCTTGAAGTGACAAAGATCAGACAATTTAAAAAGGTCTTTATTATATATTAACATTAGCATCTTTGGCTGGGCGCATCTGTAAGGTCAAAAGCCATGTTTTCAGGTGGGGACCTTTGCATGCTTATTACTGCTTTAATGTTAATAGCTAATGGCTGGTAACTCAGGTCACTTTACATGATGAGGCCTGACCAATTATACAAATTTAATGCCATCACACAAAGAGGCCAGTGAACACATTACCATGAATGTGTGTTTGTGGAGGCCTAAGTTTTTGGTTAAATGGAGGGTGAACCCATAAATAACAAAACTAATGTCAAACAAATGTAGCTGTCTGCCTTGCTCAACTATCCATAAAGCCACGTGTCCTCTGCTTCCGCATCATAAAGGCATTGTGGGAAGTTCACAGCCAGGAGTAGGCCATTGCTGCATCCTTGGAGTGCCAGAGGCTACAAGCTTGTCAGCTTGTGATGTCTGTCAGGATCGCAACAGGGGAATGGGTTCAGGAGCAAGGAAGTGAAGAAGAAAGGCTGCATGTGTGGGAAGTATGCAGTAGGTGAGAAAACAGACTAACTTGGAGTGTTGGGGCAGCGATGAGAGCTGGGACCTGTTGAGAGAGGAGAGTAAAGGAAGGAGGAAGAAGAACACTCAATCAATAGAGGTGGCTCGGGATCACACTAGGGCCATGCAGTATCTGCAAATAACCTTTCAAGCTAGTTAAGAGCGAACAGCAGATGGTGTTGACCCTCTCAGGACAAATCAAATAGTGCACTCTGGACTGCTAAAGGATTGCACAAAAAGCTTAACCTTAACAACCTCTCTTGTGACAGCATGAGAACAATCAGTGTACTGAACTAATAACTACACGTTACTACAGCTTGAATCACGAGGAAACTTCCAGTTTGTATTTTTGGCCACCATTATGTTATTGTTTATGACAACATCGCCTCAGTAGATTCAGGCTTAGTAAGATCTGGAAGCATGGATTAAATACAATAAATATGCTCTAATTTATGTTATTTTAAAATAAAGTTGAGCACATTTGAAAGATTACTGCTATCCTCAAATTACACGATGGCCTCCATAAATTACATGCAAATACATTAATGAGTTGGTGATTACGATCAAACTAAATGAAGAAAAAATTATAAAGAAGTTTAGCTTGATAATCCTTTTGGAATCCCTATTTTTTTATCAAATGAGTCTTTTAACCTCAGGGTTGGACTGCTTGTACAAAGTCTGACTGTGTTTTCCACAGTTTATGGAGAAAATTATTCGTTGTTTACCAGTGTGGATAGTCAAAAACACTTTGCAATCCAACTAATACTGATAAAGAACAAAACAACTGACTTTGTGGAAACTGCTAGAAGGTAAAAAAGAAGCAAATCTAATGACAAAGTTAAAGGGCATGGATTTGCAACAGATAATCTTGTTTAGTTATTCTGTGAGCTTGACAAAAACAGAGTATTTCTATTAAAAAAATTAAAGATTTTGGTTTAAAATCTTACTGGGGATTTTCACATTATCACAAATGAGACAGCTGATTTGCAAAATGTTTAGTTACCACATGGTCGGCTAAGGAAAATGTGTTTTGTTTTAAAACGTCCTAGTGGGTCTAATTTGTTCATTTCCAAACTCTGGTGACCAAATGTCATTCTTCTGTTTATTCGTGTTGCATTAAGAAACATCAGATGGACAATTCAGATGTTAAGCAGAATGAGACCCGTTTTAGACCAAACAGAATCAGTTTTATCAGCTAAAATTTGTCATTTGCCTACTTATATTTTTCTCTGTAACTTATTTGACTCCATTTAAAATAAATACTGATAGACGTCAAATTAAGATACTGTTTCCAATACAAGCAAATTATTTATAATAGGTGTGCTAACTTGTGAAAGTAAGCAATTCTTTGTTTGTGGATATAACAACTAAAAAATGTTGTTAAATCTTTTGAATCTTTACAAACTATGGCATTGTTCACTCATAAAAACAGTGATTTAGATACATGTATAACTGAGTGCAGAAGCAGAAAAACATGAATAGATGTATCGTTTTTTGTAATAAAACATTTAGAATATCAATACAAATTCGTTACTTGCAAAGGCTTTTACTTTTCTGCACGTCAGTTAACATTTAGCAGACATTTAGTTTTTGCAATCACAGCATGTCTTTTCAGTAACAACCAGAATAATAATAATAATAATAATAATAATGTCATCACAATGTCAGCACTGTATGTTTCCATACAATGGCGAAATTAGTCTCTGCAAACCTTTTGGATTTTGTGAATAATTTACACCCAAATGTACAGAAAAGAGCACAAGAGTGAAAAATCTTAACAATTCACTATAATTTGTGAAGTGCATTATTATTACTATTGTTATTATTATTGTTATTATTAGAATAAGTGGACAAACTACAATTCAGCTTATATATATGGTATGAAAAAATGAAATAAAACTGTATTTCTGAGTGTTGAGGAAAAAATACACAAAACTTTATTAAAAAAAAAAAAACACGCTGGAGACATGAGCTGCTGTTAAGACGACTCAACAATCAGAATCAGAGCCGGAGTGTTCACCTGCTGGGGACGAATTAAATGCAAAACGAGCAGGAGAATAAAGGAACAGGCTGCTCAATATTCACTCAGTTCAAGCTTGAAGTCTCATACGATTTCACGATCTAGATGGAGCCTCTGTGATTCTCGATAATCACCACACTTGAAGCAAAACAGAGGTGGTAAGGGAGAAATAGAAGGAAATAAGTGTTGACGTACAGAGAGAGCAAGAGGGGAGAGAATGAGAGGAAAGAAAAAGGGATTACCCTACAGGGGGAAATGGAAGACAAAAGCCGAGAGAGGTGGAGTGGGAGGATGGCAGAACCGGGCTCTTTCAGAGCAGCAGCACTGCTTAATTCCACTGCAGGAGTTCAAAGGGTTGTGTGTGTGTGTGTATGGCAAATGGGATCTTTAATAACCCGTGAGAAGGGAAACACACATACTTACACACAAAAGAGAAAACGCACACACACACACACACACACACTCGTGCACTAGGGCTGACATTTTCTCTCAGCTCCATTGTTCCTTCGGCCTGGCTCACCTTGACATCAGAGGCAGCAGGACTCATTACCAGCTTGTGGGGGTGAGGGGGGGAATGAAAGGAGCTCATGGAGGGAGGAGGAGTGAGGACCAGGGGAGGAGGAAGAAGATCAGGAGGAAATAGGAAGAAGCCTGATGCTGAGACGAGCACCCTTATACAAGTCACCCTCTTCTCCCACCCACCCACTTCACAGCTGTGTGTGGACAGAAATCTGTCAGCTTGACTCCACTGATACTGTCAGCTGGGTATGATGACCAAAATAAATAGTTTAGTTTCACCTTACAAGACATTTTTTTCTCCACTGATCAAACTAACAGCCTTGGGATGGACGACAAAATGAGCAGAGCATCATCATCAAACAGTCACAGCAGCTACAAACCACAAATAAACAGAAAAGATCCAAAAATACCACAACTAACCAGAGAAAGCCATCAAAAGACCGAGGGAGACATTCTCAGCGCAGGTTACCCACTCTGAACAGCTTAGAGTTTGGCAGAAATTTTTTTTTGAAAGCAACATTAAGAATCACAGCTTCGCTATAAAGAAAAATGGTTGCATTAAAAATACAGTAATCACAACTGCATTAATTAAAAGCCAAACAGACATTAGCACACACTTTTAACACAATTTAACAAGCACACACACATCCTCCTGTATTTATATACCCATTACAATATGGAGAAACTGATGCTCCAAACGCTCAAACTGTAAAAGTTAACAAATCTAGCTAATGTAAAATGTGTCTTAATTTTTATTCTGAGTATCTGGATCTGAATGAGAGACTCAGATTAAGGTCACTTCAGAATTACCGTATTTTCTGCCGTAAATGTTGCTCTGCCCTATAAGTCACATGAGTCCAAATATGTCTAATAAAGTGAAAAAAATCCATAAATATGTTGCTTTGCCATATACTGTAAGTTGCATCTATTATGTATCACAGCTAACGCGTCACGTTTGTTACGTGTCATTGCTGACAACCCGGAAATGTGGGCCGGTGTTGTGCCAGAAATCGATTGGCTGCCAAATGGTGGCCGCTGGGGCATGCACAGGAGGACTTAACATTTAAAAACAATTATTTGTTTGCTCAAAATTATAGTAAAGGTGTGTCTCAGTCTAACTTTTGCTTAATAAATGCACTTTGACGGTCAAATCAGAAGCATTTCAAAAGCCGAAACACGGAAGTAAGCGTATGCAATGGACGAGTCGCTGTGCAAATTTAGCAAGATAACCACCTAAAAACAATTGTTTGTTTGCTCGACTTTAAAGTAAAGGTGTGTCTCAGTTGAACTTTTACTTAATAAAAGGACTTTAACGGTCAAATCAACTGCAATTCGCCAGGGTTGCACAGTGAAATTAAGCTGATTTGACTGTTGCTCCAGGCGAGCTGGACGAAGGTGGCAGACTATGGCAAGCCGACTGTGTCATTAATAGCCACTTTTACCTACTACATGACACAACGACATGCCATACTGCTCTGCAGCCATTTAGCAGCTGAAAAATGTTAGTGTTCAATATTTTCAGTAAGAATGAATGAAAATGGTCATATCTCAGCCAAAAATTGGTTTATAAATATGGGAAGAAATCCATAAATACGTCGCTTCTGTGTATAAGTCGCAGGGCATGCAAATTATGCAAACGAAAAAAAAGAAAACGCGTCTTATAGAGTGAAAAATACGGCATTTGGTTCCAGACTGGTTGGCGTGAATCACCGCTGCAATCTGCTGGTGGCTCAGATTTTCCAAACTAGTATAACACAGCATTTTGGTGATTGAAAATTTCTCGAAGCATCTTTCCCATTAATTACAATTTTATTTCTCAAAGAAGTGCAAGCTTTAAATGAACTTCACATTAATGAATAAAAAATTATTATAATGACCATTACCTGGAGTTTGGTAGTTGAGTCTTCTCATTTCCACAGGATCGGAGGAGTTGGCTAACAACGAGTCTTTCACGCCACCTGAGTGTTCATCTTTTGGTAAGGGCGATGCTCGCTTTCTGGGGTGGCACAAACACACAAAAAGCAATAAATACATTATACTCTGACTGTCTCACGAAGAATACAGGAGCTCTAACTTAGTCACGGGTTCTGCAAACAAACAAAGTAAAAATGACAGGATGATTTAAGATGACATCAATTATTACTCTCCCTGCACACACTTTGACTCATTTGCACACTTGATGAGGCTGGTAGCACATTTAATGGCTCTCAAAACTTGTTTTGAGGACCTAAAATGCAAGAGACGGTACGTACGAGGGTCCTATCCCCATTAATTTGAGAAGAACTTGAATTTAATGTGAACACTATAATTTTGCTAGAGTGTGCTAGGTTGGGTTTGTTGCTGGAAAGGTGACAGCTGCTGTGTGGGGAACACAAGTATGTGTTTGGAAAGACGTAACTGTGTGCTCTTCTCTACTGCTGCGTGTGTGTGTGCTAACAACACATTGTGTTTACTGGCTTTCCAGATTGAGAGGAAAACAGGCGGCTGCTGTAATTAGCTCATCAGCTGGGTGGCACAACACTGGATAATTAGAGCAGTTCTGCAGCACCTGTGCCGCCAGGCCTGGCCTAGCTGAGTTTAGCAAAGCGCAGAACAGAACAGCGCAGCTTGGACTGGCTTAGCTCAGTCGAGCATAGGTTCGTCCATCAGGCGGAGAAAGTAACCGCAAACGCAGTCCGCCTGTGTTCAGACAGCCAGCATCTGTTAACACACACAAACAGACGCACAGATGCACACACATACCCTCACGCATACAGCTGCAAACACACAAACCTTCTGACAGCAAATGGAAATGGGCAGAAAGAAGCATCAGGGCGCCCTGTGGAAATTTCACATCTCATTGCACTCCATTTGCAAGTGGCGAGCACGGTTTGAAGAAGGAGCAGGGCCTTCTGTCGAGGCATGTCGTGGTGAGAATACACAACGCCGGTGGTGCACACGCAGCCTTAACCTGGTCCACCCTTAGCTGCTGGAACCAGGGCCTCACCGCCACCTGTTATCTTATGCTGCAGGGGCTTAAGCTAATATGAACTGCATGACGGCTAATCTTTGACAAGCATCTCTTCCTCTCCAACTGAGAGCCGAGCCAGACCGTGTCCAGTTTTCCCAGAGATCAGTGCTGGATCTGGGTTGGGCTGAGGGAGGGGTTAAGAGTTTGGCATCTGTGATCTGTTCTCTACACGTCTCATGTGTCCCTCTGACCTAATCAGATGGCAATCTACATGACGCTTTAGTGCTGCCCTAAAGTAAACATGGCAGAAAACCCTGTGGGGTTATTAATCTTCAGCATAAAATGAGGGTGAAGACGTGGGAGAACGCACACACATATGGAGTGCGAGTGTTTGTGTGCAGTAAATGTAGCCCTTAATGAGGGTAGAACAGGGTTCTTTGTTAAGGCTCCTGCCACGATGAGGCAGAGGAAAAAAAAACAAAACAAAAAAACAGGCCAAAAGTAGAGGCATGAGTCTCCACGAAAAATGTCAGCTTAAAAAGATGGGAACATGTCTTTTTGAGCAGTTTCCTCAGCTGGCGTTTACTTCACAATGGTTCATTCAGCAGCAGGTGATGCCTTGGCATATTCAGATGGGACCAGTCTTGAAGGGGCGCACTGTCACTTGCTTGATAATGAAACACAGCATGGAGACAAACCATGGCAGACAGGACAATCTGAGAAGGAACAATGGCACTGGATGTGGAACATGCATCGGTACATGGACGTGACCTGGGAGTTCCCTCGACCTCAGTCACACAGGGTTGCAGAGTCTGCTGCCTCTCTTGTCTTATACGTCTTGTCCAATTCAGTCTGTACGTTGCTTTAATCCTATCTGAAGGTTTACTTTTTGTTTTTGTTTGTTTCAAAAGCGGAGGTAGCCAACTCTGCAACCCCAAAGAGCAGATGGACATCAATTTCACAACACAGCTGCGATGGACACATTAAGTTAGAATCGATGTTACCCACCTTTCCTGTTTGCTGCATTAATTGTGGCAACAACAACAACAAAAAAAAGATAAAAAGGGGGAGGAGTTAATGTGTACTCCTACCCATGAACTTTTATTTTCTTTGAATACATTTTGCTCTAACATTTTACTATATACAGAACACACAAAATATCTGCTGAAAGAAATGTAGGCACAGAACAAAAAGAATTATCCAAACTGTTGCCGGAGGCTGTTGAGAACAGTTTTATCATTATTTGCTGCTGGTGCCGGGCTTGGTGACACTGAAGGTAGCAATAGCAGCCAGAGCTACAGTGTGATTATTTCTATGCACATTTACTGCCAGTACACAGTGAAAAGGGCACACAGCCTCCTCCCTACAGTCCCTTCTGTCAATCTGTATCTACAGAGAGAAAGGACTTCCAGACAGAGGATGTGCTACTCAGCAGTGAGCTGTCTCAAGGCCTATTATTAACCAGCAGCTTTTTAAGTCCACTGAAGACAGCAGCTGCACATTCTGTGGATGGCAGGTTGGAGAACAGGTACGATGTGAAATCTAGAATCTGTAATGGAGCCGCCAGGGCAAGACAGAATGTGGGACTTAATCAGGGCAATTTAAAGACAGGTAAATAGTGGTTTGCAGGTAATAGATTTCTGTCCAAATGGTATCTTTATGATGTCCAAATCACATTAGCATTTTAATAATGTTCCTCTGCTAAAGATGCTACCGTAGAACTAGCATGTCTTTAAAAAGCAGTTGGTAAAAAATTAGAAATAATTAAAAAAATTATGAAACAATTGTTTGCAATGACAGAAAAGCAGTTTAGCTCAATTTTGTTAGCGACCAATACATTTATTTATGTTTGAATCATGTTTGTGAGAATGGATGATTAGTTATTTGACCTATAAAACTTAAAAATAAAAACTTTACTGTGACAAAAAATCCAAAGAAACAGAAACAAGACCAGAACTAAATGCAAATTATTTTTAAAGTATATAAATCATAGAGCAGTTTTAACTCGAAATATAAAACCAGGATATAAAACCATCTGCATTTTTAACCACAGATTATTAGGTATCGTCAAATAAAGACCTGATGGTGAAATTGTTTTACTCTAAGTAGTACAATTCCTTGTGGGTCTGATCCTCCAGAGCATTTTGTTCGTCTATTTGTAATCACGGCATACTGCGCAGGGCCCGCTCAAGTGCTTTAAGGAGATATTGACTGAGCTTTTAGCTAAGCCCTCTGCTGCAGCCTTCTGTTTCTGATTTAAAATGACCAACAGTGTTGCCGAAACACATTTTTCACTCCTATCTAAGAGCATTTGACAGCCAAGCTGTGATTTTATTAGAGCGGCTATGTCAGCTGCCAATTCTTCTGACACTTCACATAGTATTGTTGACAACAGCCAACTGGGCCAGAATCTTTTGTCTGAGATACAAATCAATCCTTTTCCCATCACACTGTATACTGTGGTAAGGAAACTAAGTGTTATTGTTTGGATAGTGAGCAGCCTAGTGCAAGTGTCTTATTACCATTCCTGATGCAACCAGGAGAAACTTACAATCACCGTTGCCACTGCAGTTTAACCTCAGACCAACACACACACAAAAAAAGGGAAACATAAACATGAGCAGGACTTCTTACTTTTTAAAGAGAAGGATGGCAATCACAATGATGATGATGACGATTACTGCCAATACTGGCCCCATGACCCACAACATTTCAGGCTGATCCATCCCCTGTTCAATCCTTGCTGTGACCTGGATCGGGTCTGAGTAGGGACTGGCTGAAAAAGTCATCTGTAAAAGAAAACAAGCAAATAAAACAATAAGGAAAAAATATGCAACATGAGAGTTGAGTTTCTTCAGCCCCAAAATAAATAATCTATGCAAAGTTTTCACTTTATAACTTAACATAGTCTTTATTTCAAAATGGTGTTTGGCTTTGCAAAGTCAGACACTAAGGACAGGAAAAGAGTTACAGAATTGTATTATACAGCTTCCTCTGTAGCTAAAGTACCATATTTTCCGGCGTATAAGTCGCAATTTTTTGCATAATTTGTCAGTCCTGCAACTTATACGCTGAAACAACTTGTATACGTTTTTTTTTTTTTTCCCCACATTGATAATAATGTTTGACTGACACTTAAAATTTTTAAGAACTGCAACAGCGAGTCCTCGCGTGCGTGCTCGCTTCACTCAGCTGGTGCAGGCGGAGGAATGCTGGAGAGCTAGCAGCTCCAGCCGCAATGAATGGATGGATGGTGCTGCCCAAGCGAAATGAAGCTGTTTTGACCAATAAATTGCATTTATTAAGGACATGTTAAATCGAAACACACCTTTGCTATAATGTCGAGCAAACCAATAATTGGTTTTAAGTGTTAATCTTGTTAAATTTCTAAGAACTGCAACAGTGAGTCCTTCCGTGCGTGCTTGCTTCACTCAGCTGGTAAAGGTGGAAGAACGCTGGAGAGCTAGTGGCTCTGGCCGCGATGGATGGATGGCGCCGCCCAGGCAAAATGAAGCTGTTTTGACCATTAAATAAACGCATAATAAACACGACAGATCAGCGGTGACGCATAATAAACGCAACTTATACGCTGAAGTGACATATATATGTTTTTTTCCTCTTCTTGATGCTTTTTTTGGCTGATGCGACTTTTACTCCAGAGCGGCTTATACGCCGGAAAATATGGTAACTGTATGCTCTGCAAAATTCTTGTTATGCTGTTGTAGTAATGGGACATACTTTAGGGATGGAGCAAGACAACAAGCAACAAAGTTTACTCAACCCAAATGACACTTTCTCATAAACAACAACCATCTTGGCTAATGCGGTTATTATTTTCTATTAAAGAATTTCAGTTTAAGGAAACTGAAATGGCCGCTGACAGAGCAAGCGTGAGAAAAGAAAGTATGAGTGGTAATGACAGAAAGGTGTGGATAAGCGTGCGTGTCCCTTGGTTCGCTGAGATAAATGAGGGCACAGACGAGGACTCATCTCTTCTTCATTAGTGTTCACACCGTGACGGAGGAGGAGGGGAGGAAAGAGGTGACGGTAAGGGTGCGTTTCCACCCTGGTTGTAAATGAGACATCTTCCTACTTATCGTCTCTAAATGACAGAGGGGGAGGGCTGGAGTGGAGACACGTAGGTGTGTGTGAATGTGTTTTTTTTTTCTTTATTTGAGGAATGAGTTGACAAAGCAATGCAAGATGGTGTTTTAAAAAAAATAGATGCAAAAAGGGAGAGAATAACTGAGAAGAGCTAGCTGACAGATGAGAAAGAGGGAGGTGTGCGGCATCTGTCATTAGAGCTCAGCGTGCCACCTATTGAATGTTGATAAGATGTGCAGGTAGGGGATAGGAGAGGGGTGTGCGGAGGGGTATGGGTGACAGATCGCAGACCTCGAAGGGAATTGGGCTCCCAGCATGCAGCAGGAGTGGCGGGGCAGCAGGCAGCAGTAATCCGCATCATTAGCTGCACAGCAGCGCGCTCTTTGGCACACAGGCAGATATTAATTGGAAAGATAAGCTGAGATGAGCTCAAAGAGTCCTGGGCTCTGTCATATAGTGCTGGTATCTCTCGTACTCTTGGGCAACTGCCGGAAAAATTTACATTATGGGTGTGTGCGTGGTACAGCATGTCTCAATCGTGTACGTGCAAACCAGCGTGCACTGATATTAGGCACAGACACAAGATAACTCAAGCAGGAAAGTGAAAAGATTCACATTTTCATATAACAGCGGTAGCTCGAAGCAGCGTTTTTCATTTATCTTTTCCTCTTGCACATACAAACACACACTGTGAGATGAGTTTGCTGGGCTTTTGAGAGGAACCTATTATCTAAAAGCAAAGAGAAGCAGCACTGCAATGGTACACTGCTAGTGTGACGACACCGCGAGGCTTCCTGTTCTTTCTGGAGGGCCCAAAAGAGGCTTAGGGACATAGCCCTGCAGGGAATCCTGGGAAAATGTTCCCTTTTTTGCCTTAGTAACAAATAACTGCAGCTGTTCTTTCAGAGATGGATAAGAGAGGAAGAGTAGGGAGAGGTCTGAACAAAAAGAGAGGGTTTTTTTCTGTTGGTCACGGCGATGTAGTGGGATCATCCATTTGAACGGCCCTAATATCTGATAAAAGCTCAGTCACGCAGCTAATAATGCTTCTGCCCTCACAGAGCAGTATCACAAAGAGGCAGTGGTGCTGTGAAGGAATGTGTGAGCCTGAGAGTGAGTCAGACAGTGAGAGACATTAGTAGATCTCTTACAACTCAAAATTATTGTGTGTACTTTTGGACGAGAATGGGTCATGAGAGGTTTAGTTTCTTTATGTGCAATCCCCACGCTGTTAAGTATGGATGACCAGAGTAGATAACTTTCGGGTATTAAGCTTTGTATTTTTGACCCCTGTTGAACACCACTTCAGAGATCTGAAATGTCTCCGTAGCTAATGAAAATTCAATGCATATATTCGCGCTGAGGCTGATTATGTTTTTTACTTTATTTTAAGTTCTCAATTGAAGAAACATGAAGAGCTAATTTATAGGATGGTTTTCACATAAAGTGTGGCTGCAAAAAATGCTTGCAGTTGTCTGAAATTTTTTGTATGCACCAGTTTCAAAAGACTAACCATGATACCTTGACTGTGGTAAGATTGTCAAATGTGCATGGACTAAATAAAGCAACAACTCTAGTGAAATGAATAAAAATGCTGATGTGAAAGGTTCACAATATTTTTCTACGCCTAATTGTTCCACTAGCAGATGAGCTAGTTATGTCACATTTGTAAAGTTGCAGCTCTGTTTTACAAGCACATATGTGTGGAATTTACAGAAATTGGTTGTATTTGTGCATCATCTGTAGCCTATGATTGTTGTCGATCCAGCAACTGATATATTCACAAGTCGCGACCTATACCATAGATTTAATATACCAGTATATGTTCATCTGGAGCTCCAACAGTCAAGAAACTTCAAGAGTTCGGAACTTGAGTGCAAAAAGAACGAGTTGCAGCAGCAATTCATTTCATTGTGTCAGTCTCATTTAATCCTTATTTTAGATAATATGCAACTAAACAATGATCTTCAGCTAACTTAGCTAAAGTGTTATTCTCTATTTCACTATTGGTTTTGAGAGCTTGACCTAAACTGATTTTATGAGACAATCAAAATGATGAAGCCTTCTGGATGGAAGGTGAAACGTTTCAGCAAACAAAGAAACTGTCCAGATGATCTGACTGAAAATTGTTGGAGTTCTACATGGGCTGCTGTTGTTACGCCATATTGTTTTTCATTATTAGTGTTTAGCGTATGCCTTAGCTCTTTTAGCGCACCGTTTGGCATTTGTTTAGCGTATATCTTAGTGTATATCTTAGGTCCTTATTTACTCTTTTGTTTTATACTTTATATTTTGCTATTGTTGGGTGTAACTGGGACCCGGTGTACACAATTTTGTTCCACCTTTAAGAATCTGTTGGACTCCTGGCAGGGACCAATGCAGACATGCTCCTGTTTTTAGTTTTCTACATTTGCCTTAGAATCTAGCTGTTTGTTGTTACTTTTCTTTCTTTAGCCATCCTATTTGTAAAAAAAAAAAAAAAAAATCTGTATGACTTTTTATAACTGTTTATTGTTGTCGCTGTTGTCCATTGTTGTCATCATTCTTTGTTGAAATCAGGTCTCTTTCGTAAATGAGTCCTCGAGGCTCAATGGGATTTACCTGTCTAAATAAAGGTTGAATGAAAAACCTCATGTACCACATGTGATGGAAACGACAATAAAGTTGACTTGAACGTGATATATCCAGCGTGCTATCAAGACCTGTAGGCTATGGAGCATCCGCTCGGCCACTCCCTGAACGCAGCTTCTGCTACACACAGCGCAGGCACACTTGTTTCAAATCATCATTGTTCAAATCATGCTAGTTCCCCATCTCTCCAAAAATGGCTTAAATAAGCCGCAGGGCGTGTGCCAGACAAACAAACATGCCTGTTATGTATCCGCAGCTCACTCTGCCTCTCCGGGGAGGCTGAGGAGCCCACACGCTCCTCCTTGCTGCTTGGCACAGTAAAAGCCAGAGACAGGGAGAGTGAGGAGATAAAGAGACCAAAAAATATGAGGTACAAAAAGTAAGTGAGATAGTCTGTTTTTATCTATGAGAAACAGAAATGTGCTGTCTGCTCTGATGAATCCTCTTTCTTGTCCCGAAGTTCATTCCTTAAGCTCCTTTCTACATTCACTTTTGCCCTCGGATGTCTCTTTCACCATTTAGGACCAGAAACTGCACTTAGTCTCTCAGACTGTCTGAATACCAAGCTGCCATTGGCAGAATTTGTTTTGAAGTGATTGACGGAACATGTAGAATTATATAGTCCATTTTTAATTCTTTTTTACAAAAGGCATTCAAAATCAAACGCATAATCCTAATCTTCTGCTTCTGATATTGGGACGATTGAGGATTTTTAAGTCGATCTGTACAATTCTAGTTCTAATTTAACGATGACCTAACATATTAGTAATTATTTGTGCATAGCTCTTGATTTTTGAAGTACTTTTATTTTGAAACAGCAAAATGCTGTGCTTCATGTTATCCAACAGTGATTTTTAACAGCAGCTTGTTTATTTATTTTATTTATTTATTTATTTCGAACAGACAATAAAAAGCAAAAAACAAAGAAAGAAAGAAAGAAAAAAAAAACAGTCATGCCAAATGACATGAAATTTTACACAAAGGAGCAGGTAGAGGATAAAGATCTTAGGATTTTCTGCCCCCGTCATACACATCAATATACAATCATTTTAGTCTCCCAACACCAAATAAACCTTATAATACTCCCACATTAAATGACGCTTAAAGCAATTATTTACACATTATTAATATCAACAATAGCATTTTTGGTATTTGAAACACCCATCCTACACAACATATTTTTCAATAAGCTCATTTTTATACTGTTTTTGAAGCTATCTTATATAAATATATAAATTTTTTTTCATTTAGCCTTTATTTATACAGGTAGTCTCATTGAGCCACGAGAACTCATTTTCAAGAGAGACATGTTTAGGGAGCAGTTGGTGGGGGTTAAGGACCTTGCTCAGGGGCCCAGGGTGGGGCCAATGAGGGTGGAGGGAGGTGTGGGTGTTCCACCTTTTCCACCTACATTTTGATGTTGATGGTACCGGGAGGTGAACCTGTGACTTTCCGATCACAAGCCCATCTTCTAGTCTCTGCGCCACCACTCCCCCCTGGTATTTGTACTTTGTTTGAGATCATCATTTAATCCATCCCATAGATCTACTCCACACACTGATATACAAAAACTCTAGGTTGTTTTGATATACTGCTTTTAAAATTGCCTTCTCCTCTTGAATTAACCGCCCCCCCCCCCCTTCCTATCACAAAACATTTTTTGAATATTGTGTGAAAGCTGACAGTTTCTTACTTTGAACATAAATTGTATAGCTTTGAATTTTACAAGGTCCAAGAATTTCAATACATTCGATTTAAAAAATAATGGATTTGTATGTTCCCAATATCCCACTTTATGTAATAGTCTGATTGCCATTTCAACGATCATTTAATCTGGTAATGACCATAAAAGATCAGTGTTAGAATTTAACATCTAGTATATGTCAATCCGTTCAACCTTTTCAAGATGTTACTGCACAATCTTTGCAATGTTGCAGATGGGTTTGCCCTGTTGAGAAAGGTCATTGCTGTTAGAAATTCTGTTGCTGTAGGAGGACATGATTGCTCTGCAACAGTGTGTAGGTTAGTGGTAAGAGCCAGAACGGCTTCCACATAAATAAAATCCCAATTTCCCCAAAGAACTTAGTGAAAAAAGAAGTTTTTCCACCTCATTACCAGTGGTTTGCATGTTATGACTGATCGGTGTATGCAATTGTATAATAAATTGGACACTCACTTGTTATTCTGTGTTCCTTTGTGCTTCTCTTATAAATAACTAAATATCATAAATAAATAAAAGGAATCCAGATAACTGGAGGCATCGCTGGAGGAAGGCTCCTCTGGAGTGGAAGTGACACAGCACAGCTGAACATTTGATGCCTGCATCTGTGCCACCCCTGAAAAGTTGGACTTGAATATGCATTGTAACACAAAAAAAGCCATCTTGTTTTCATAATTCCCTCTTGATACTGTTTGTCAAAGCCGTTCAAATTCCAAAAGAAGCTAGTCTTCAATGTTATGGGTGCTTTGAGCCTAGAGCAACAGAATTATTGCAACAAAGCAAATTCTTCATGCAAGTGAGGAGAATATAAATGCCCGTATGGAACTTTAAGCAGCAAAAATATGGTGAACACAAGTAATCACACTGTTTCATTTTTTTTCTTCACTTTGCCAAAAACTCCTTACCATACAAAAGGCACACATTAACACAATCTCCTCGTCTGCGACAGGTTCACTTTGTCTCATCTAAGCCTCACAGGCTGGACTGGGCACAAGGCAAAAATAAATAAATAAATATTTCTTGCTCTTCAACACCACCCCTCCACTCTGCCTCACTTCACATAGCATGTTTCCTCCCTCCCCCACTCTCCTTCCACATTAAATGATACTGTTTATACACACCCAGCATCTATCATCCCATTTCACACTTCCCCCGGCTTGTTTATTTGCTGTGGGTGCTAAGGAAACATGAAGGCACATTCTCTTTTCCTTTATTTCTCCTATTCCCCTTTTGCCACCCTTCCTTCTCTTCTTCCATTCACCCGCTGGCGGCTGCTTGTGGCCATTGATATACGAGGGCTTATTAAACCCTGGCGGTCTGTTTTGATCTACACTAGGGGAGTTTGGGTTGGTGGCGAGGAAGGCTAGTAAAGACACAAGTCATTTATTCCAGTACTTGTTTTAATCTCCTGGGTCTGGTGAAGAGCCTGCTTGCAGCAGCTTCTGCCAACTGTGGCGGTGCTGCTGCACACTTTACCTTCTGCACCAGCGTGTTTGGTAATAAATGTTAGCGAGTGCCATGTGGAGGGTGACAAAAAACAAACGCTGCTGTGGTATCTGACTTATCCAAAAAGCGCAGTTAAGAGGTTTATGCGGCAATCAAAGACAGCCTGCCAGCAGCCGCCAAATTGTTTGGTGTGTTAAATGCATACAAAAAAAAGACAAAAGAGAAGGTGTTTCAGCTTACAATGAAAACATCTTATTTTAAAATGTGTGCATATTAGATCCTCTGTTGTATTTCTTTAACCAAAGACATGATGTTTCAAAGATTTTCTGTGAAAGCACAATGCTGCTACAGTTATATTACAAGACACGCTAAAGTAAAAACTAATTTTTGTCCTTCCTGAGTGCACAAACAATGGGCAGAGTGGGTCGAACACAATGACCAGTTACGATCTCGCCCACAGAGCGGAGAAACACCTTACCGTGGCAAATCACCAACAGCTGAGAAGAACTGATAAGACGAGAGTCACACTTATCAATGGCAAAGTGGCAATCCAGTGAATCAAACTGTATTTGTGGAGTATTTGCAGTGAACCAAAGTAAAGAAGACCTCTTAACAAAACTATCACATTCGGGAAACAAGGCATGCAATTTGCATGAACCTTATGCAATCAGGCCTCAAGGAAAATGTTAAATTTACTGACACACCCTGTGAGTAAGGTTTGGTTAGATAAAGCAATCCAGTTCAAAAAGTGGATAGTGCTTCTTAAGAACAGGAAGTGTACAGAAGGAGACCAGTTCTGAGCTGCAGTGATCCAACATGCAGGTACAATGAGAGTCTTGTGCAGCGATGGGATTTAGGCATCTTCTTTGAAGTCAACTATATCATAGCTGCCCAGCATGGCTTCCTTTGCACATCCATCCCCATCTCAAAGTGGAGGAGTGAGGGATTACTGGGAGAGGAGGGGCTTTGGGGACATGCAAAGTAGCATTTCAGGGGAATCAGGCCTGCTTTACAGACTCTCTTGGCCCTGTGACCAGGCCCTCGTCTCTCTCTTAACTCCAGCTGCACTAATCAATCTCCTCTGCTGTCTTCACAGTCGAGAAGGATGTGGAGAGGGAATGAGATGCAAAGAAAAAGGAAAAAGAGCTCAAAGGCAGGAGTAAAGAGAAAGAAATAGGTGAAAAGTTTACAATTTGGTTTCAGACATAGAGCACTCGCACTCTCTCCCTTTTCTGGTTGCCGAGGGCCCTGCTACTGAATATGCATGTCCCGGGTAGTGTAGGAGCCCAGAGCAATCGCAGACTCTCATTCCTCCTGCAGTGAAGTTTAGCCCAGACCATCCCATAGAGAGATGGGCCTTCATGTTAGTGCTGCTTGACAAGTGCACAGTGCCTTCACTTAAAAAGCCCAAAGTCTTGTATTAGCATTGTTAAGACATCTGTGTGTGCCCCTGCTGACTGCAGAAACGACAGAGTTGGACCTCTGATGTTACTGTCAACTGATAAGGGCGTTATCAGTACAAGCTACAATTGTTTTAATGGTGGCTCTAAGCTGTTAAGAAAACTACAGAACAAGTAAAATTAATTGGTTTCAATTACAAGTGAAGGCTTTACTCTGACAAACAGCTGAGTAAAATTATGACTTACGTAATTAGCAGCACTGTCTGTCTCCTCATATTGGAGTACTGCCAGTACAAAGCAGAGATATTCCTGTTGATTGGTCAGGGGCTTGTTGTAGAAGCCATTGTAGTTCTTCTCATCACCCAGGGTGAAGGTGGTTGGCAGGGAATCCAATTTGGCAGCAATGTACACTTTGGAAGAATCAAGGTGTCGTCTGCGCCTCAGGACTGGACCATCGCTTGACCTGAGCAGCTGCGGAAAAGGCAAAAAGGGCAAACATTTGGGTCAAAAATAGCAACACACACACAAATACACACACACTTAGCACGAGAGAGATGTACCAAGGCAAAAGAAAGCTCCAAAATAATATATCACTGCTAGGGATGAATTATATTGGATTTTTGACCGATATCCGATATGTTAAAACTTATTTGGCAGATAACCGATACCAGTAATTTTTCCCTAGACCTACTTACAGAGACTACATAACTTTCTCTGCTGTGGAATTAAAATACTACAAAGTACATTATTCTGTATGGTCTTTGTCAATTTGGCCTGCTGCCAAATGCAGATGCCAAAAAAGGGGCTGAAAATGATGTAACACTATATAAATGTAGAATTTATATATATATATATATATATATATATATATATACATATATATATATATAGCACCTTTTATATCAGTGAGTAATTTTGATGGAATGGCTGATGTCCGATATTTAACTTTATCGCTAATATCGGCCGATACCATGTCTATAATATCGTGCATCCCTAATTACTGCCTCAAATTTTAGCACAGCAACAACTGAATGCCCAACTTTCTATAACTCTGAACTCCTCATAATAACAAACCCTTTGGACTCATTCAGTTGGTCCAGGACTGGCTTTGGCTTCATGGGAGATAATGATTCTGGTGAGCTAAAATGCCCTTTGCACAGTGACATAACAGAAAACAATGCAGCCAAGCTACAAAGTAAGCAATTAGTACTTGCTCCAGCACACAATCTCAGCATGTCTGCCAGCCTGGTTAATAAATGAGCAGGAGCACACAGCACTGTGGCATTGTGTTTTTAGCAGCATTTTGTTTTCTGTCAGTGATGTCTTGTGCACTGCTCCAGATGTAGCTTTATTAAATCATTATGTTGGAGGGAGGAGACAATGGCCTGCTCAGTGTTTAATGACTCAGGGAGTCCCATCGCTTTCCCCTTTCCGTCTCCTCTGTTATTTCTACTGGGAGCTTAAACAATAGCGATTCGAATCAACAAGCCTTGGAGTTTGCTTAAAAATCCTGCTATTAATATTTAAGTCTAGCATTTAGTTCAAATTTCCTCATGAAGAAAAAGGACTATTATTCAAAAGATAAGGAAAGTTGTACTTATTTATCCTCATATGAATTGTGTAAAACTTAGAACAGTCATTTTTATTTATTTAGAGTACTGTACAAAGTGTAGTTGATCTCCACATCATTTGTTACACAACATTAATACAATCCTCTGTAGATACAAACTGTTTGATTCAACAGATGGCCACTGTTTGCAGACCTGGCATCCAATCAGCATCCTCCCCACCTACCCGAATGATTCATTCTTTAAAATCTCTCTGCCCTGGAATCTCTTTCTCCCTGAGCCCAGGAGGGTAGAGCTAATTAGCTACTATCAGGGACTCCCTCTGCCCAGTTGGAACAGAAAATGATTTTTGTGAACCTTGACCTGGCACAATAGCCAATCAGTCACTGCTTGGCACTCACCTCATCCAGGTCCATCTCGTCTGGATTCTTCCATCGCCTCGTTGATGGAGTCACCGGCACCACCACAATGTAGTACCACCTGCCAAGAAAAAACAACAACAACAAAAAAAAGCCTGTGTAAATGAACAAAACAAATGCACGTTGAGCTCAAAGTGGGTTAAGTGGATTAATAATCCAGTCAGCACACGAACACAGACATTTACTGTTAGGTTTGGTGGGATAAATTCAAGATTTGACTAAACAAATGACTTCGTCCAAGGTCAAACACCAGCAGATTGGCACTGCATTCTCCAATTAAAGGCTAATCACTAAGAACATCTGCCACGTAGACTGGAACAAACGGCATCCCTGTGAGGGGAGCCTTCAGCTAATATAAATCCCCACAGGATTCCTAAGGTTAATAAGAGCAGCAATGTGAGTAGCTGTGTGTGCATGCACGGGTGTGTGTTTATAAAATCCAGAATAGAGGGAAATGAAAGACATTAGAAAGACATTTAGGAATGAAGGGTCAATCAAACTAAGGTGGTTAGGTGGATGAATGAGAATGCATGTGAGTACAGGCTGTACTAATAAATGTGTGTAAATTGTTTGTGTTGGCTCTCCCTCTCTCTTGTTGTCAAGCCCATGTTCTCCCTGATTGTTTTCTCTCAGCTCAAACTTTTCTCTCCACTGCGGCATTTTGTAAAACGAGCTACTGCTGACAGTGGAAGCAGCTGCATTTCTCCTCCTCTTTCCAGGCTTCGGATCTGCGATTCAACAGTCACTCAAGTCTCAGAGTGAGAGAAGACATGTATAACAAGGCTCCTCTCACGTACACACTTACACACACACACAAAAAAACCACACTCACACACAGCCCCCAACTTCCCCAATCACCTGTACTCTTCGTCTGTCAGTCTGTGCTGGACCTGAGCCAGCCTTGACAGCCCTGTAATCTTTTTAGCAATCAACACTGTGCACTCTGCGTACATCAAAGTATCTCCATGCCTGTGTACCTGGAGGAAAAGCTTTACTTACGACCCTGCTCTTAACAATTTACGTCAAAAGATAACACAGCTCAACCTGAAGTTAAGTCTCAATTATTATCAGCTTTTTTGTATTAAAGGTAGCTGAACGTAAATGTCAGAGTTAAAGCTTTAGCAAAGGTTTTTGTATTGATCAGTGTACCATTTGGCCTTCTGCTGGAGTTAGAAAAGCTGTTCAGTTTTCAGTTCTGTGTGTTTAACTTTACAAATAATGTATGTTTTATCTACTAAATGGTTCCTTTTAGATTGAGTTCCTATAATATTAACTGCATGCACTAATTCATTTTATTCCTTTTTGTAATGTCATGATTTTTTGTTAATATTGTATTGTATCATCTTCGTGGACTTTTAATGATGACTAAAACAGTCTAATTATGTTATTGACCTAAATAGGTGCACAAATCTGTAATTGTGCACAAATAAATGCAACACAATTGTTTTCCACAACAGAAATGAGATTTTAAACAATTAAATGATGAGTCTAATTGATCGTATTTGACAATGCTGTTAAGTTTTTGTTTACTTCCCCCATTTTTATCAAAAGCAATAACAATAATAAGCCAGAGAAGTGTGTGTATGGTAGCACAGTGGTACAGTTGGTAGAGCTGCTGCCTCTCAGCGAGCAGGTTACCCTGGTTCAAATCCTGGCTGGGTGGAGTTTGCATGTTCTCTCTGTGTGTGTGTGTTTTCTCTGGGTACTCCGGTTTCCTCCCACAGACCAAAAACATGCATGTTAGGCTGAATGGTAACTTTAAATTGTCCCTAGGTGTGAATGAGAGAGTGAATGGTCTCTATGTGTCGCTGTGATGGACTGGAGACGTGTCCAGGGTGTCTCCTGCCTCTTGCACAGTGATGGATGGACATGGGCACCAGTGACCCCCGCGACCCAAAATGAAAAAAGCAGGTAAAGATGATGATGGATGGATGGAGGTGTGTGTACTTTGAACATTTTTATATATTTTAACTTTTGAAATTTGGAAGATTATAATCTACAATGAACTGTTTTATGCGTTTTAGCAATTTGTGATGCTTACGTTTATAAAGAAAGGGTTAATTATTGAATTATATATAATTATAGAATAACTATTACCTATTCCTGTAGTATTAATACATGTTTGTGCTAGCTCCTTACATCTGCTTCACTGTTCTACAAACTTAAAGCTACTCTCTTTCACACATTGTCAGACAAGGAAAAAAAGACTGACGACAAACAACTTGGGCTTAATGTCTTCTGGACTTGTAATTGATTACTTGACTCACTGAGTGTGTTCAGCCTTTCTTTACTCACCTAACCCGATCGGTGGTCTGGACTTTTGGCAGGTTGATGTTCATCCTGCCACCTTGAGCTTGATGTGTGATAGGCTTGGTTTTAATCAGGTCAGGGGCGGTGCGGATGGACACCTGTTGCTGCAGACCACCCGCAATGTTGCCCCTGCTTGTCAGAGCGAATGAGTAGTCAGTGTCTGGCTGCAGCTGTGTGATCAGCTTCCTCTTCTGGTTTCCTTCCACTTCCACACTTTGCTGGTTGTACAAAATCTGTAAGCACACAGCAGTTATTCTGGATGCTATAATGCACGAACATTCTTCTAAAAAGCTAAAACCATTAATGGTCTCATCACATTTTCTGGTGTCACACTTGCTCATATCAAATCATTCTTCACAATTGAAAATACCTTTGCTCCTTTTGTATGAAGCAAGAATTGACAGTATCGTTTTTACAATAATTTGGTTGTAATAATATTATAATATCCAGGTCATGCTTGTAAAAAGAGAACCGATTCTCAAACACTTCACCTGGTAAAATAAAGGTATGAAAATTAAAATTATTTTACATTATATATATATATATATATATATATATAT